ATTTCACCAACTGGTTAGTGTGTAAACCAAGACTGAAAACTGGATCTCTTATCCTGTGTCTTCACTATTTTTCAACAATGGAGTTTATTCCTGGTATGACCTCTGAACTCATTTGCAAGCACATGTCTAAAGAATTACTTCTTTAAAAACTGTAAATGCCTCCCTTGCTTTGGCGGAATAACCTTTCCCTGACTAATGGATATAGCCAAAATGCAGCTTGACCATGGCTGCTTCATTTTATCTGGCCTCATCACTTGCCTCTCTCTCATTTGGATTCTTACCTTCTAGTGAGGCCCAGTTCCTCCCAAGTGCCTGCATGTCCATGCTTTCTCTGACCTTCCACATTTCACGCCCTATGGATGTAATGCCTTTTCTGCTTACTCTAGAGTCTTTGCCCTTTGAGGTTCTATTTCACCTATAGCTCTCACATCCTTTTCCAATCCCTCCAGTCACAATCTCTGAGCTCCTCCAGGCTCTGGCAGTGGTTGCCGACTGAATGGATGAACAAGTGCTCTAGTTTGGTTGAGTTGGCCCGTGTGTTGAAGACTTAATCCCAAGCAGTTGTGCTACTGGGACATGGTGGAACCTTAAAGAGGTAGGGTCTAGTGGGAGGTCTTCCAGCCACGGGGACCAGGCATGCCCTTGAAAGGGACACTGGAGCCTTGGCTTCTTCTTCCTCTCCTTTACTTCTGATCCTAAGATGAGCTCCTTCTCTGCTACACACTCCCACCATAATGTGCTTTCTTGCAACAGCCAGTAAACAATGGGCCCCCTGACCGTGGACTGAGACTTCTAAAACGAAGAGCCCAAATAAGCCTTTCCTCTTTTGAAATTTATTATCTTGGATATTTTATTACAGTAATTTATCAGTGGACTAATGCAATGAGCTCCAACATGGAACCTTCTTTTTTCTATTTAATCATGTGTGTGTGAGTACATGAATGTTTTGTGCATATACATCTACGGAACAGAAAAACTACTGTACCCATAGAAGTGGCTGCATTTAACATGCATAACTGTCTATAAGGTTGACCTCTTATGCCCATTTTAAGGATGAGGGTACTGAGGCCTTTCTCTTAAAACCATATTATTCTTTTCTTTCTACCATAACTCAACTATGTTACTAAACAGTGACTGAAGGGAAAAAGCAGCTTTTTTCAAGATCAAAAAATAAATTATAGATTACAAATTTTAAACCATAAGAAAAAGGGAATGACTCATTACTTTTTTTTACATTTCAATGTATCGATTCCTTGTCCATACAGTTTGCTACCATTGGTACCTACAAGTGGTTTTCACAAGTGACTTTTGAGATTCAGGGAAGTGTGGTTAATTAATTGTCAGCTTGGGTGGGGAACGCCCAGCTGAATTGAGTCAGCACTGTTCTGGGCGTGAAAGACCCACTTTAAGGAGAATTGTTGTCCGAACAGTGTAAAAGGAGAATGTGAGGGAAGGTTTTCAGCTGATTTTCCTCTGATTCTGAAGAGCCTCGCTGCGGCTGATTTTACTTGGAGGCACTTGGGCTGTTATCTCTGGAGGAGCTCTGGTCTTCATCTTCACCTTCTCCTTGGGAGTCTTCTCCTGGCTTTCGGCCCAGATTCTTCAGCTTCCTGCACCGGCCTTTCGGCCTGCTGGTGTAGAGGTGCAGGCTCTTTATCTTCTAGAGCTGACCCTTCAACCTCCCAGGGGCGCAGACCCTTCCGTCTTTCCTCGCGGATCCTTCGGCCTCTTGATGCAGGCTTGCATGGGACGTTGCTGTGCGCTCCAGGCGTTCAGCTGGATCCTTCAGATCTCCAGTGCTTGGACAGATCTTTTGCATTTTTCTACATTTGACTCTGTGGGTGGCCACTGTAGGACAATTTTGTAAATGTCTGTGTCCTGCATTAAATCTGATTCGGATCAAGTGCAGTCTTTTGAGAAGCCTTGCCCCAGCCCTGCAAATTCTTGTAAGCACTAATACAGTGAAGTGTGCGCTCAGAGTTTGTTGACATGACTTTTGCTTGGCTTTAGGCAAAGAGTTGGAAAGAAAGACTATACAGTTATAACCAGAGAGGTCTTTTTCTTCCCTGCTCCTAAGCTGGAGTCAGGTTGTTGAGTCCTGGCAGAGCTGGGTGTCTGCCGGTTGCTTGTCTCAAGGTTGCTAAGAGATGATGAAAGAAAAAGAAAAGAGTAAGCATCAAATCTGAGTTCCTCATCTTTCCCTTGAAAACTTTATTTTTGAATATATGATTTTCCTCTCTTTTTCCCCACACTTCATTTTATAGACTTATCACAAAAAACACTGAAGAGATTTCTGAATGCTCTTTTTTTTTTTTTTACTATAATGGAAATATAGGGATTCATTTATTACTTTTTGGTGTACAAACAAAGGCACTCGATAATGCTTCTATTTTTTTTTTTTTCTTTTCGGTGCCAGGGATTGAACTCAGGACCTTGCGCTTGTGAGGCAGGCGGTGGAACCACTGAGCTAAATCCCTGGCCCAATGCTTCTATTTACTGCTTATAAAAGAGTATTAGTTTACATTAATTTTTTTTTTAAAATTCTGAAATAAATTCCTGGAGACACAAAGAAAGGGGGAAAATGAAATCTTTTCCCTCCCTGCTTCCAAGCTTTATTTACAGAGATTCAAAAAATAATCTATGGCATCCTGAAGTCAAAAAATAAAAGAAAACAAAACAACAACAAGAAAACTCCACAAACCACAGTGCTGTCTCAGCATTGAGTTTTAGGACATATTAATGTTGCTAAGTAAATTTAAATATGGTCACAATGACATCACAATTTACAAATACATATACCAGAGCTAAGAGTAAATGGGGGGGCACCTCAATGTTTTAGAATAGCGTTTTATTAAATGAATTATATTAAATAAATTTATTTTACAGGTGATACAGTTAAATGAGTTTGTGGAGAAAACACAGAACTATACTCATTATCTAGCAAATGACACAAACATAGTGGATTTCCAAAATCTTTAAATTTGACTTAAATCCAAAATCTAGATGGTATGGATTATTAATCTATAGACTTATTATATTAATTTTAGAACTTAATTTGTTCTTTACCTTTCTTTCACAACAGAATTCCAAATGCACAAAATTAATGCAGTGGTCCCGGGACCCTACTAGTTACTATTTCTTTAAATTCTGAGGACAATATAGCGGTTCAGAAAACAAACTCTCTATGTTCTCACAGGCTTGCATGAGTTGTGCCCTGATTCTTTTGTAAAACACAAATTGATCTGACTCTAGTTGTTTGGCAGGAGTATAAAATCATAGAAATTTCAGCGCACTATGGAAATGTATTTGGAGGTAGGTGCTCAATGCGCATTGCACAGGCCACCTTCAATCAAAGGCTTCGTCATTTATTCCACTGTCACACACTCTCATGGTCTCTCACACCTCATACAAGATATGGTCCTAAACCAGAGGCTTTAGTATCATTTCAAAGAATATACAGATATTTACATAAATGTTTCTTTTAAGAGAATGTTTAAAAGTTTTACTACAGAAAATCTAGCTTCAACATGGAAGCATTTTTTCTTTTCAAGATTATACATCTGCATTTAATTTTTCCACAACAGCAAAAGAAACTTCTTATACATGACATTTAAACTGACAAAGAAAATTAGGATGAAAAGTTGTGTGTAATTTTTTTATATTGTGAATTGACCTCTTTAAACATATTCATGATACACTGCTAATGATTTAAATATAGTACAACTTCATTAGAGCAGTGGTATGCTGAATGATGTGTTAAACCAAATGTATGTTAAAATAATAAACTATTTATTGAGTTTTAAAGGGAATTATAATGTCAAAGTATTCAATTCTCTTGCTATAACTTGTTTCTATATAATGCGTTTCTTTCTAAAGCTAAAACCACATGCAGAAAAAATAAGTGATATCTTCAAACTCATTCAACAGTTTGCGTCTTTATGTGGTATGTAAATAAAGTCCTTTATTTAATTTTATACACATTATGCATTTTTTTTCTTGAAGGAATTCAACTTTCAGTGTCAAAATTAGTATGTGTTTATACACGAGGATATTTTCTTGATGTCATTACTAGCTGCAAATACATTCTTCCATAATAATGCACTTTCAGACATCATCTGAAAGACAGTGTGGGCCTTTTTAAAGTCCTAAAACAATATTTATAAAGGGAAGAAAGCACAAAAGTCTCAAGAAATCTTCTTGTTTCAAAACATGAACACAATCTTGTTTGATTCCCAGTACCAAGGCAGGGGGGCATGAACACAATCTCACAAGATTTTTATTTTATCAAAATTTGGACAAGAAAGTTTATTCCTACTCTTTTTGATGCTTAGTTTTATTGATATAGATTTTCAAACCCATTGAGATTCAATAGGGTCTTTAATATATAGCCTTCTGATTATAAAAGCAACTGATTATACTTACAGAAAAATGATATGTACCAGGCATTTAATCAGAAAAAGAAAAGTGAAAACATATTTTTCATGTTTGGTACCCCAAATAACTTACAGAAGGAAGTAAAAATAGTTTGGCTATAGTTTTAATAAAACTAAAACCCACTACAACTGATGAAAAAAATCAAACATTTAAGGATCAAGTATCTACCCACTCAGCTAACATTCTGTCCAAATAAATTCTTTCCATTGCACTGAGTATTAGAATTATGTGTTAAGGCGTTTTTAATTAATATGTTCCAGAATTGCACAGTTATACTGGTCAATGTTCCTATTTCCCTATTCTTGTCTTTATCTAACCTTTTTCTCTCCGTGGATCAAAATGTTGAATCATAACAATAATGGCTCTTGTAGACAGATTTGAGCTGGCATACAACAGCATGTTCACTAGGTTTTATGAGCATAAACATTAAGATGTTACATAAAATGTACCAGGTTTTACTCTACGCACTGACCTAAGATGGTTTAATGTCTTGACAAAAGTTGAGATGACTTAAGTACATTTTACATTTTGTGCATTTAGACCACCAAGTGCATAGATGTTCTAACGCGAGATTCTGGGTCTTCAGTATCTCAGTGCTGGACGCTCTGAAGTGTGACAGAAACTTGTAACACAGACTGACCACAAAGCACCAGATGTTTCTTGCCATTTGTGACCTTGCAATAAACATGCACCGGATCAGGATCTCAAGGATAATATTGAAACCATAACGTATGTTCCGCAACTTGTTCAGATGTTTTCTAGCTGCAGGGAGGCCAGACATTTCTACATTTAAAATATATTTCTTAGTTCCCATGCAATAGTTTTCTATATACTCTGCCCAATGTAATTGTCCTACATCAATACTGAAGGTCTTTTTATCTTCAGGGTTCAGTTGATACATTAACATATTGACACTATCAGTATGCCAAACCCAAGAATTACTTGTGAAATATTTAAGAAACACCATAGCTTTGTGAAGATGAATTATTGTTTTTATCATCCGTAGGCTTCTTCCAGTCATCCTGAGGTAGATATCATACAGGAATGCTGGGGCCTTATGGCTTACAGCAATCCAGTAATGATATAAAAGGTGATTGGACATTAAATTTACATTGGGTGGTCTGAAAGCCTGTTCAAGAGGATTCCTCTTGAAAGTGGAAATTACATGGTATTCAACTTTGCCCCAGTGGAAAGGATTAGTACTGCCCATTGTAAAATTATACACCATGATGTTTCTTGGTCTATTAACTCCAGAATACCAGGCTGCCGTAGGTCTTGTGTTGACAACTACATCTACAGGAACAAGATCTGCAAGGGCGTTGTTGGAGGTGCACCTTGTTCCAAGAATTCCTCTCCCTGCCACAATAAAGAGACCACTTGGTCCATTAAAGTTATCAATCCATCCACGAAAAGATTCTTTCCAGCTGGCACCAACAATTGACGGCCTTACAATCTCCACATTTAGCTTTGCTCCTTCTTGCTGTGCAACATATTCTGCCAAAGCTTTTATGTATATGTATGTATTAGGTCTGTCTCCTATTAATTTTGGTGTGATATTTACTAGGTCATCATCTATCCTTTCTAAAGAATCAGCTTCTTGGGATCTACAGAGGGTGGACAGACTACTTCATCAATATGCTTTCGATTGCAGTCGGCATATGCTGTTGAGACATGCATGAACACTTCCAGATTCTTCATTTGTTGTGCAAGGAGAATAAGCTGTCATATAGCAATCACATTTAACTGAAAAGCATCTCTTAAATTTTCATTAAACCGTACTATAGCTGCACAGTGGAATATAACATTGGTAGAATCTATGATGACTTCTTTATCTTCTTCACTAAGAGCCAATTTATGCTGGGTGAGTTCACTGTTGATTGTTACAATTTTCTCTCTAAAATCTGGATTTTCATCTCAATCTGTCAAAGAGCTTGCCACTGGCCGGAGGTGTAGCTCAGTGGTGCTGCACCTGCCTTGCAAGCAAGGTCCTGAGTTTAATCCCCAGTACTAAAAAAAAAAAGCGCACCACTAAGGTCTTCTTCCACTCGCTCCTGGGGTGTCTGACCAGCTTTCTGCCTCACCAAAACATCCACTGAATTCACCTTAGAACAAGACCTCAGCAACTTTTCCAGAAGCACCTTTCCTAGAAAACCACCAGTAGCTCCTGTCAGACGAACATGATGGGACTGAAACCATTTTGATCCTTCACAGCCTCTGCGTGGCCTCCCACCCTCGGTGGCACCCCGGGCTCTGCACCACTTAGCCCTGGCCGTCCCTGCCCCGGAGGGTGGTGGTCCGGCCAAGCCGCGCAGGGACCACCCGGGCTTGGCCGAGGAGGCACCCCAGCTCCTGCAGGGGCAGGGCCTGGATGCTCTTTTTGATGTACAATCCATATGTTCTCATCCAGTACCCTAGAATATGATGATAATTGTATTGGAGATGGGACAATTAAGAATAAATGAGGAGATGATGACAAAAGAGATGGAGGTGACCATCAGCAAGCCAAGGAGAGGCCTCAAAAGAAACCACCCTACTGACTCTTTGATCTCAGACTTCCAGCCTCCAAAGAGTGAGAAAATACATGATTACCTAAAATTCAAAACCAGAGGAAGAAAAGGCTGTCATTAGAGTAACATTATTTTTGAAAATATAGAGAAATTATTCCACAAATGTGCAGTTTTATCTAGATTTACTGTAATGTTTTCAATTTTAAAACTATGAAACCATATACTAAAATGAACATTGGTTCAAAAGACTCAAAACTGAACAAATACAGAGAACAACAGAAGTGATATACTCTTCAACAACAAATTCGTCAAACTCTAAAATGAGAAACTGTGCTTATGAATGTTATGGGATTATTGAACATTCTACACTCTGCGAGACATAAACAAAAAGCAGCTTTCTTTTTCTCTAGTATTAAACTATTCTTTGTTTCTCCTTACTGATATTTTGGATAGATTTTTTAGGTTATGGCCATTTTTGAGTCATTAACAGTCCAGCTGGTCTTTCCTCTCATACCTAACTCAAGGACTCCTCTTTCCATTCTTCAGCAGGGTCTGTGATTTGAGAATTTAAGATAGAGGAGGGAGTAGTTCTTTTTTTATTGTTGGAATCCAAAACATCCTCCAAAATTGTGATGAAGACTTGATTGCCAGCTGATGGCCTTTTGGAACATGACTGAATCATGAGAGCTCTAACTTCATGAAGTAGATGAATCCATTGTTGAGTTCATTAGCTGAATGGGCCTAGTAGAAGTTGGCTATGACTACATGAAGCAGGGCCTTGAGGGAATGGCTTTGAAGAGTTTGTCCCAGGCCCCTTCTCAGGCTCTTTCCATCGCTGCTTCCTGGCTGCCTTAGCTTTACTCCACCACATGCCTTCAGGCCTAAGAGCAGTGGAGCCAGCTGATCATGGACTAAAACTTCTGAGAGTTTCTTCCTTGAAGTTGTTTTCCTTCAGTCACAGTGACAGAAAGATAACACACTCTTTAACTCTGTTCTTCCCCTTTTCTTTCTTAGTAAGAGGACGTGTGGAAATGCTTTTCTTCCTCCTTCTATTGGAATCTCTATCTGCTATATTGAGGCAGATAAAAAAGAAGAAGAAAGGGGCAAATATCTCCTATTTACTTGCCCTTTCGTTGGGATTGCTGACTCTCTGGGACATTCTACCTGGCCATGGGGCCCCTCTTGGCCAAACGCTGGCTTCTTGTGGATTATACCTGTAAATTCTTCTGAGACAGGGCAGGTATCTCTGCTTACCCATTTCTCTTATCTGGATCTACTTGTTCCCATTCTTTCAATGTCCTCCCTTCCCACATTCTGCTCCTTCAGTGAATTTAAAGCTTCTCACTGTTGATTTCCTGCATGACAGCCTTTTCAGACAGTGAAAATAGGTGAAATGTAGCCATTTTTTTATGGCATCCATGGAACTCTTGGCTATGCCAGGGAGTGCTGCTGCAGCTGTCCCTGGGACCCCTTCTCTTTCCTGTCATTTCCTCTGGTTCTCCTGTCTTGCTATTGACATAGAGATAGGCCTGATGGAAAGTTCACCTTCTCAGAAAATATTAAGTCAAGGAATAAGGCAAGAGTGTCTCCTTCCAGCGAAGAGCTCCGAAGTTTACACTCGATTCCCCTGGAGTCCTCCTCACAACTGTCTCTCCTCACTCCTGCTCCAGAGACCGGGAAGGCCGAGTGCCACTCTCAGGAGCGGTGGTGGGATGGTTACGGGAAGACAGATTCTGCCTTGGGTTAGTGCATCCTGGAGAGAGAGTCTGACTACAATGCCTGACTGTTCTAGTTTAGAATATGAGGTTCTAATCCTGTTAGTTTCTTTCTTTCTTTCTTTCTTTCTTTCTTTCTTTCTTTCTTTCTTTCTTTCTTTCTTTTTTTTGTGGTACCAGGGATCAAACTTAGGACCTTGCGCTTGTGAGGCAGGTGCTGTACCACTGAGCTACATCCCCGGCCCTCCTGTTAGTTTCTTATATTTGGGCTTTAGTCCAAAAAAATTACTATTTAAGATTTTTTGTCACTGCCTTTGTTTATATCCTTGAATAGTGGATGATTTGTACTCAGGTTTCTTGACGTGAACTCTGAAGAGCAGAGGGCCATAACAGTGTAAGTCCTTTGAGTTGTGCCCTGAGACTATGGCAGGGACCAGGAGTGTGCAGTGATGCACAGTGGGTGTCATGTGACAGTGAGGATGGTGGCCTTTGTTGCAAGTGCCCTCAGATGAAATCCTTGACCTATCCTCTTCTGCAATCCAGAACTCTTCGGTGTGAATTTTGATACATATAAGAAGGAATCAAGTGACAACTCAGTTTGAAGTGATGGGAAGTATTGATAACTGAAGAGTTGATAATTAGAAAGCATAGGTCATGAGAGAAATCTCCGCTATATTGATTCAGTATCCCAGTTTTCAAGGTTGTGACAAATGAAGATGGATTTTTTTTTTCCTCAAAGGGTTCTATCTTGAGAACGTGAGGTCTAGAGGTGAAGATATGTCTTACTGTGAATGTTTGGATCATGTTTGTTTAAACACAGTAATACACTATCATATTAAGTCTTAACATGTTTCATTTTAATTAAAGACTTTTGTGGCTTAAAAAAGTCAACCACACCCAAAGAGTTTGGTGACAGTAACCTCATGTGAAGACTGACCACTTTGGGGCAGGGTGGAAGGACAGCCTACAGAAGGGCACAGTAGAGTGAGGGAGCAGGGCCAGCCCTTCAGTAGTTAGTAATGGAGGAGTGTGAGGTCTGCACTGGAACAGGGAAAAAGGCAGCCTTCTAGTGTCAGAAGAGCAGTTACATGGGAGGGATGGAGCAGTTAAGAAATACACAAGGATATGCAAGCCAAGTGTCTTACTGTTGGAGAATGAAGAGGGAAGTACATACAATTAAAAGGGCAACAATAACAACAACAACAACAAAAAGATAATTAAAAAATTGGGGGCTGAGGATTTAGCTCAGTGGTTCCACCTCCTGCCTCGCATGCTCAAGGACCCGAGTTTGATCCCCTGTACCAAAAAAAAGACACTTAAAAGGGCAAGCTATAACTCATATGTCTTCTATTGCACTGCAAGGTGACTAAGGTTAATAATAATGTATTTTATATTTCAAATTATTTTAAAAGAGAGGATTTAAAAATATTACCACAAAAATTATAAATAGCTGAGGTGATGGCTATGTTCATTAGCCCAATTTAATCATTCAATGATACATACTTGAATGGAAATATCACATTATGCCACATAAATATATATAATTAGTATTTGTCTATTAAAAGTAAGAAAATTTTTTTTAAAAAGGAGAAAGCTAGGGGCCAGGGATTTAGCTCAGTTGTTCCTCCGCCTGCCTTGCAAGCACAAGGAGCCGAGTTTGATCCCCGGTACCAAAAAAAAAAAAAAAAAAAAGGAGAAAGCTAAAATAAACTGCAGTATCATATTAGAAATGGAGCAATAAGCATGAATTTTATAGAGATAGATATAAGTAACTTGGTATGCAGATACAAATATAACTACATGGTTTACATACATACATGGAATGTAAAGGTGTGTGTGTGTGTGTTGTATATGTATATTTCTGAACCTCAAGAAGACAAGGAGCAACCTCCACACCCCAGAAAAATGAGCTCAATTTGCAAATACTCTTCCCCTACTAAATATACATGTGTGTAGTACATAGTGTTTACATTTCTTGTGGGTAGTTGGTATGTATGTGTGTGTGTATATATATATATATATATATATATATATATATATATGACACATCTTAATTTTTTTTAGGGATTGGAAAAAATGTTCACTGTCCCCATTATCCACCAAAATTGCTGTAATCACCATTCATACATGGAATAACTGATAGAGCAAGCATGTGATAATACTGATCTAAATCCAAATTGTGCATTTTCCCTTACATTTTTTGTTTTATGTTATTTTTCAAATTAAGGTATTTTTTGTTGTTGTTGTTGTTGTTGTTGTTTTTTGTACCAGGGATTGAACTCAGGACCTTGTGCTTGGGAGGCAGGGGGCAGAACCACTGAGCTAAATCCCCTGCTCAAATTAAGGTTTGTAATACTGAGATAGTTGTAGAATCACATACAGTTGTAAGAAATAAGGCAGAAAAATTCTATGTACCCTTTATGACCTTTCGCCTTGCAAAACCATAGCATAGTATCACAACCAGAATTTTGAGAGTGTGTGGTTAAGATATTGAGCAGTTTGGCTGGGGATTTAGCTCAGTGGTGCCGCTGCCTGCCTCACAAGTGCAAGGTCCTGAGTTCGATCTCCAGTACCAAAAAAAAAAAAAGAACCTGAGCAGTTCCTTCATTCCTTCATCACAGGGATCTTTCATGCTCCCTTTTAAAGCCCTTCCCATTTCCCTCCTGCCCTAACTGCCTCCTTAACTCCTGGTAGCTGCTCATCTGTTCTGCAGCTCTATAATTTTGTCATTTCAAATATGTTGTACAATTCAGTCTTGCAGGATGTAATCCTGTGAGATTGATCCTTTTTTATTCAGCACAGTTCTTCAGAGATTAATCCAGATTGTGCATGTATCCATTGTCTGTTCCTTCTTGTTGCTGAGCAGTATTCCTCAATGTGATATGCAGCTTACTTTGCCACTCACCATTCAGGGACATCTGGATTGCTTCTGGCTTTCATCTAGTACAAACGAAGCTGCCATAGACACTTGTGTACAGATTTTGTGTGACTCTAAGTCTCATTTCTCTGAGATAAATACTCAAGAATGCAATTCCTGGTTGTATGTTTATTGAGTGTTTTAAGAAATCACCAAACTGTCTTCCAGAGTGGCTATATCATTTTACAGTCTCATCCCAAAGTATATATGGTTCAATTTCTCTGCATTCTTAGCAGCATTTGGTGGTGTCATGA